GATGGGTAGTAATTGCACACTCTGGCCAGACACAGATTGAGGCTGCCCCTACTACTTTTGCAAATTCCATGAATGGAGTACTCTCCAGCCTTGGCGCTTTGCTATTTATGACCCATGGGACTCCAAATGGGAGCAGGGAGTAAAGGGAAAACTGTACCAAAGTCTCTCCTATTCGCATACTAGGAATTCTATTGAAATATACCAAGCTCTCATTCCAGGTCCATGGATTAAAACCCCACATCAAGGTATTTCCCTCCTAAACCTTACTGATATAGGAAATATTACTGACTGTTTCTCATATACTTATGTCGACCGTTCTCTGATCACAGTGGTCTCCATCCCTAATCCTCTCAAGGTCACTGACTCCCCCACACTTTTCCTCCTAAAGGATGTACCTCTTCTCCAAGATCCTGGACGCCAGCTACAGGTATGTTATGCCACTGGTAGCACCTCCCCCTGCAATGAAACTATTCCCACATCAGGAACAACCAACAGCCCCCCCGGTACTTTTTTTTTTTTGGTGCAATGGAATGCTGCTGTGAACCCTTAACTCTGCCTCTGCCTTCCCCTGCTTCTTGACCGTGCTGACCCCACAGCTTATGCTTTATGGAGAGGGGAAGCTCAGCGACAAACTAACCAGGCATGAAGAAAAACGGGTCAGTCTTCCTGCTCATACTAGTAGGTACAACCTTCACAACCCTGCCACCAACTGGGATAGGCAGCGCTGGGTTAGCACACAGTCTCTAAGCCACTCGCCAACTACAGGCTGAGTTGAAGCAGGCCCTTGATGCCTCTGCCACTGTCACAGGTGTGCACAGGTAAGCAGGTTCTTAGTGATCGAGGGCAAAGAATTGAACCAAACACACAAAGTTTATAGCATAAAGAAAGAGGGAAGATTTATTAAGTGATAGTACACTCCACAGGACACGGGAGTGGGCCAACTCTGAACAGAGAAGGCACACGTGGGCTGGGGGGATTCTATTCTTATAGGGCAGAATCTCCCTGGCTAGTCTTTGGCGGGCTTTTCCTGCGCAGGTACAAGGAGTTGGATTCCAAAGCTGCTGCGCATGTGTGGTTTCCCATGATTTTCTTGATTGGCTACTGGAGAAGGGAGTCCCACAATGTTATTTCATTATAATGATATTATAATGAGCCAGGGGTAGTGCGCAGGCAGGCGCATTCCATGATTCAGAGTTATCCCAGAAAACAGGAACAACCCGTCTTAGGGGGTCTTTGTTGTGTATAGATGTTTTCTACCTCAGCCCTGCGGGGCCTCTGGAGCTTCCTTCCTGACTATCTCCTGCCTCACCACCTCTCTAGCATCTTTGCAGAGACAGATAACCTCAGTAGCCCAGGTTGCTCTCCAGAATCACAGAGCCCTGGACCTACTAACAGCAGAATAAGGAGGAGTATGTCTTTCTGACGGGACAGTGCTGCTTCTATATAAATGAAAGCAGCCTAGTAGAGGGAAATGTTAATACCCTACAGGACCTCAGGGACAAATTACACCAAGACCCTGCCTCTCTCGAAACAATAACCCCATGTTGACATCCTTTACTCTTTACCACCCTGGCCCTGGTCCTAGGGCCAGTGATAATAATCTGCATCTATTAACGTTTGGCCCTGTTTCCTAAATTTTCTCCAGGAAAAAATTCGTGAAGCCTCCTGGGTTACCTTCAACCAGATGCTGCTTCAGGCCCAAAACTACTTCCCCACATCCCTGATAGAGGAGAAATGGCCGACCTCTCGGCCCTCCCCTCCACCCCCATTCTGACAGCCGAAAAAAGGCAGATTAGACCACCTCGTCCTTTGACCCTTTTCCTATCAGCAAGATGTTGGGATGTCAGGATGGGCGGGTTGGACAATTGGGAACCTAATTACAATTATAGCGTTTGGTCTACAAATATGGCTGATGTTTAGAGTACAAGGAATATGGTCACCGAATGTGTCTGCCGTTTGGACTACAAGTAATATGGCGGCTGAACTCTGACCCGGAAGTGGTGGCTGTTGTCAGACCAGGAACCACCAGTGATATGTTTCTTCTTTGTTCACCAAGAACCAATCCTTGGCTGCCAAGCCAAGTGAAGCCATATAAAACTCCCAGCCTTTCCCTTCTCTGCACAGACTTTCCTTCGCCCTTTCTCTGCATGGGCAGAGGAAATCTCGCTCGGGAGCACAAACTTCTAAAATAAAGCTCATCTGCCTGATTTCATGGCTAATTGGCTGCTTATTTGCTCGGCAGGGTCTAAGAAAACCTTACACTTGTCCCAAGTCTGACAGCACATCTGACAGGGCCAGGGGCCCAGGTGGTTTGTCTGCACCTTCGACTCAGTATCTTGGAAGAGCTCACCACCTGCACAGACGTTTAGAAGAGAGTAGGGTGTCCTACACTGGTCTACGCTGGTTGCTGAATTTCCCTGCATTGTTAACTGTTCTGTATGTGCTGCATGTAGACTTAATCATGGCAAAGAAGGCATTCTTTTTAAGGAAAACAAAGTCAAGGAATCATGAAGGTGCTTACAAGTTGCACGTGCCTCCAGAGCTCTGATCCGGGTCCCAGTTGCTGTCACTGTCACAAAGGAGTGAATGGCACTCCCAACCCTGCCCTGGTTCACAGAATGAAAGTGCCTTAGCATGTGTTGCAGCCGTCACCACCACAGGAAGCTGGTTTACCCATGTTTCCCACTGGGCGTCACAATAAAGAGTACCACGTGCCCCGTGCCGTGTGTCTCGTGGTGTCCATGTGCCACAGAGGGCGGCCTGAAGGCAGCCGCTTGGTCTGGGCAGCAGGCGCCTGCTCTGTGCCTCCTGGGAGCCTGCGGTGGTGCGGGGAGGCTGGGCACAGACCTGAGTGGGGAGGACGCAAGAAAGGGAGGCGGGGCCAGGGTCAGGGACGCTGAGCGCGTCTCCATAAGCCTTGGCTCATTGCTTACAGTGTACCTTCTCTGTGCTTGACACCCAGCTGGCACAAGGTGGAGACCCGGCCCAGGAAGACTGATGCTCCCACATTAGCAAGAGGTCGGGGGAGGGACAACGTCTCTCCTTAGAGTGGGGATGTGGACCCACCTGACTGAAGGTTGGACACAAGCAGTGAGCCCTGGGCTCCTGTTTGACCTTCACAGGGAAGGCACCCCTTTGTCACATGTCAGTGTGAGGCTCCCTGCCCACCCCACCGTCCCTATGACAGGGAGGGTGACCGGGAGACAGGGCCCCTGTTCTGGAGCACAGCACTTGTCATGCCCACCGTGTCTGAGCCACGCGTGCCCCCCTCCTGTGGGAGAGCCTGGGATGGGCCAGGGTGTCTGAGGGTGCGCGCTGGGTGCCTCTGGCTGGGTGCCTCCTCCAGCCTCCACCAGGCGATGCTGCTGGGGCAGGCCGGACGCCTTTCTAAGCGACTTTGGGGTTACTTTTCCCCTGAGTTGGATTTTGTTCACAGTGGGCTGAACGTTGCTAGCTGTCAACCACAGCTTTTGGCCCAGACCCCAACTCTGAGGCCTCTGCCATCCCAGGTGACCTTCTGTGATGTGGGTTGTCCAGCTGAGTCCCATTTCCCCGACACTGGGCCTCTGGTCCCTCAGTGGGGTGATCTCTGCTCATGGCCCCGGAGGCAGGAGATGCCTAGTTCTCACCTCAGCTTGGCTTTGGAGCCCCCACCTTTGTCGTCCCACCAGGAGACTGTGTCCCTCGAGGCCAGGGGTGTCCCTCTGGAGCCCATTCTGCATTGTCACCAGAGGACGCCCACGGTACCAGGACCGCAGCTCCGATGGATGTTGAGCTGAGTTCCGCATCTCACACGGGATTGTCTGGGTGTGAAGCTGAAGTCATGCTAGAGGAAGGGAGAAGAACCGGCAAGCAGGGAGGTTACAAGGGGAAAAATGGCAAAAAGTAATTGGTAACAAGTGTGAAAGGTCAAATGGGACCCTTGGTTTGAGACTTGGCTCCTCCCCTGAGCTGCCTGGTGAGAGCCCTGGCCTCTCCCCTCACCGCGGCTTCCTCTTCTGCAAAGCAGGCCTCATCCTGGCGCAGTCTGTGGGGCGAGTGTGAGAGGACACTGGGCTGTGTGTCCTCACACAACACTGTCCATCCCTCTGCTGCACCTCCCTACAGAGCAGGGGACAGGGTGCCGTGGTGGCCCATGGACATTTGCCCTCTGATGAACAGTTTCTGATGGAATGGCCAGGTGGGCCTGTGTGGTTCACTCCAGGCCCCACCACCCCTGCCTGGAGGTGAGGCAGAGAAGCCCAGCATCTGCAGGATCTACAGGCCATGGGTCATCGTCCTCCATCACCTGAGCTGTGAAATGGGGTTGATGACTCCAGGGAGCTGGGGTGCGAATTGAATGGGAGAGGCACGCAGGTGCCTGCCCGGTGCCTGGCTCGCCCTCAGCCCTGCGGCACGGTGGCTGCTCTGCTCAGGAGCCAGGAGCCGAGCACTAGGTAGCCCAGGGGGCTAAGAAAGGACAGGGAGCCAAGAAGATCCCATTATGGGCTTTTATTCGAGGCTGAACTCTTTGGTCCAGGCAGCAGAGTTTGAAACGACTGTGGCAGCAAGGGAGAAGGTGGGAGGGTTTTCAAGGGAGTGTAGCAGACCCCCGGGGAGGGCAAGTCACCCTGCTCACCTGTCCCAGGTGTCCAGGCTACAGGTGTTTGCAAGACAATGTCCTCTGCTCAGGGATGGCTGATCAGTGAGAGAAAGTCTGGGAGATTTATGGGCCTTGTGTCTTGGAGAAGCTCCAGGAGAGCGGAGCGGGCAGTGAGGATGCAAACCCTTTCCAGCAGGATGCCCAAGGCTGTGCCTCAGTTGCTTCAGGTCTTCAGCTGGTGAGGACCCTTCTTTGCTTGGGCACAGGCGGGGGCTTAGGTCCTCCACACCCCAGTACATTGTAACAACAAACAGGAAAACAGGCTTGCTTCCTGTTGGCAGACCTGCCTGTGCTCCCTTGACAATGGCCTTCTTGTAAAAGTCTTGTTTGACAGGAAACAAGTCCCTTTTACAGGAGAGGAAGGGATCTGGGGTGAGAGGAACCGAGCCAGGAGGGAAGGCAGCAGCAGTCCCTCTGAGCGCTCCCACAGACTTCTGTCTGCATCCAAACAGCACTTACCACCAGGGACGGGCTCAAAGACCAAGGTGCTGTCCCTGCCACCAGGCACAATCTAAAGAGGGACCTGATCAAATGGGTCAGGGGAGACATCTACACAGTGGCCCTGCTGAGGGCTCAGGCCCCTCCTCCAGGTGCCATGGGGGCAGAGCCAACAGGGGACAAGGGACCCTGTGGAGTTCATGCTGGAGGGCTGCTTGGAGGAGGTGATACCACATTTGGGCTTTGAAAGATGAGCATCTTTTTCCATGTTGTGGAAGCTGCTGCTGCTGGCAGAAGGGCCCACATAGAAAAGTCTGGAAGTTGCCTGCACGAGGTCTCCAGTAGAAGGAGCACAGTGCAGTGCAGCAGGTCTGCAAGGAGCACCTGCAGGGTCCGGGATGGTGCCGACTGCTGCTGACAGAGAGGGGGACGGGGCAGGCATTTTGGGGGCTGTGGGGAGCATGAGAGGCCAGGGGTCTGGGGACAAGCCCATGGGGAGGAGGGTAATGTGCTCAGGATCCCCCAGTCTGTGAGTGGCTGGTGTTCCTTCCAGAAGCAGGGGGCAGGATGGGCTTGGGCTTCCAGAAGGCCCTGAGTTTCAGGTCTGGGTTGCTCCTCAGAGGGTTCAGGAAGCAGGTCATGATCAGTTTGGAGTGGAACCCTGTGAGTGATGTGGTTGGTGGTGAGCTTCTCAGAACTGAGGCATTTGCTTTCGCTTTTGGTTCCAGTAACTTCCGAGAAGAGAAGAGGTTCTGGTCTGCGCACTGACTCTTCTGGCGAGCAGATCTGCACAGCTAAGAGCAACCAGGTCTTGTTCCAGCTCCACCAGAGCAGGGTCCTTGGTAAGCTGGGGAGGGTAGGAGCCCCCCTCGCACCATCCATCCTCACAACGACTCCCTGAGGCAGGGACTGTGTTGCTATTCTGCAGAGGAGGGAAACAAGCTCAGAGCCTGGGTTTGCCCCAGCTGTGCCTGAGGGCTTCCTCCCCTGCCTGGGGCCCTGAATGCTGGAGAGGAGGGGAAATGGCTGGGGTGGGTTCACTGAACTGGGCTCGGGTCCTGAGCTCCCTGAGTCATGACCAGGGACCCCAGGTATTAAGTGACTGTTTGGGTGACTGGGGAAAGCAGGAGGTAGAGGAGGGCAGGTGAGTCTGAGCCTCCCTTGCTGATGTCCTGGCCAACCTGAGGCTGCTCCTGGGGCTGCTGCTGAGATTGATGGGGACAAAGGATTGCTTTTGAGAACTCAGGAACCTGAGAGGTTGTTTCTCCCACCCTGTCAGCTCAGTGCTGGGCCCTGTGCCCTGTGGGGACACGGAGGCCTTGAGCGGGGAGTGACCAGCCCGGGAACGGTGATGGCAGACTGAGCAGGAAGATGGCCGGGCTTTGCTTCCCTGCCCTTGGCTGGAGCTCAGTTCATGGCCGTGGGGTGAGGGAGGAAGTGAGAGGTGCTCCCAGGAGTAGGGAGCCAGGCTGGTGTGTTGTATGGCACCAGCTCTGTCATCTTAACAAACCAGCTGGAGAAGTGACTACAAGCGGAGGAGTGTGAGCTTCGGTCTCTGTGTTTATACAGGCAGAGACTAACCTGGGACCTGTCGAATTATTAAAAGCACATTTTCCTCCCGAAATAGCAGCATCAGAAGGTGTTGGCCTTGACCCTGCCCTCCAAGAGCTGCGTGATGCTGGGCAAGTCACTTCCCTAAGAATTATTTGTTCCTATCACGCACCCATTTTATATATTTATGTATGTATTTATTTATTTATTATCCTCCCCCAAGGATATGCTTATTAATTATAGAGAGAAAGGGAGGGTGGCGAGGGAAAGAGAGACAAGCGTCGATGTGAGAGGGAAGCACAGACCAGTTGCCTCCCGCCTGCACCCCCACCAGGTATCGGACAGAAAATAAGTACGTGCCCCACTTGGAATCCAACCCGCAAGGATTTTCGGTGTAGGGACGACACTGTCAGCTGTGATAAAATTTTGGCGTCAGTCATTTCACGTTGACCCGCAGGCCCCTGTGGGAGGGGGATCATCACCATTTGTGTACGGGCGTGTTGCTCACAGTGGCTTGTGGTCTCCCGTGGGGCTGACTGGGTGGTGGCAGCTGCTGCAGTGTTAACTCTTCAGAGCCCAATCACTCACACTCTCCCCTCCTGGCTTCTGGGGTTTGCGTCTTGATTGGAAATGTTTTCGCAGCTCAGCATTGGTTTTATTATTTCTTCCCCCCACATCTGTACTTTGTGCCTTCTGGGTTACCTTTAGATTCCCTTGGGATTGATGGATCCATTGATTGATTGGTTTCATAGGAGCTTTTTGATTCCTCTCCTTCCTCTCCCCACTCCTCTTCTGTGTCTCCATCTTCATCTTCTGGCTAATGCACAACACACTCAGTGGGTGCCCACAGGGGTCAGAAGGAGCAGCACCCGTCATGTGCCCTCACAGGAGCCTCTGGGCAGTGAGCACTGCACCTGGCAGCCTCAGTGAGCAGCAGTGGGAGGGGCTGCAGGGAACTGGGCGGAGCCCCAGACCTGGGCTGGCCACTCTGGGGGAGGGGAGGCTTTGGAGTGTCCTGCTCAAGGCCTGGCCATCATCATCACATTTTAACAGGGGGACCCATGTTTTTTCACGTTCCACTGTTCCTCTCCCTCCTCATGTAAAAATATCTTGGCTGTAGGAGGGAGACGGGGGAAATAAATGGAGCTCCCAGAAATGTGAGGGAACTGTCAAGAGTACATTGAAGCAGTGGGGAAATGTGTGTGAAATCTGAGCCCTAGTTTTATCTGTTTTCTTTCTTTTGCATTTTTTCTTTTTTAAAATATATTTTATTGATTATGCTATTACAGTTGTCCTAATTTTTTTCTCTCCTTTATTCTCCTCCACTCTGTACCCCCTCCCACCAGCATTCCCCCAACTTAGTTCATGTCCATGGGTTGTACATCTAAGTTCTTCAGCTTCTCCATCACCCTAAACTACTCTTAACCTCCCCCTGTCTGCTTCGTACCTACTGTTTATGCTTCTTATTCTTTGTACCTTTTTGACCATTCTCCTCCCCGCCCCCGATAACCCTCCAGATGATGCCCATTTCTGTGATTCTGTTCCTATCTAGTGATTTGCTTAGTTTTTTGGGTTTTTTTTTAGGTTCAATTGTTGATAGCTGTGAGTTTGTTGTCATTCTACTGTTCACATTTTTTTATCACCTTCTTTTTCTTAGATAAGTCCCTTTAACATTTCATATAATAAGGGCTTGGTGATGATGAACTCCTTTAACCTGACCTTCTCTGGGAAGCACTTTATCTGCCCTTCCATTCTAAATGATAGCTTTGCTGGATAGAATCATCTTGAATGTAGGTCCTTGCTTTTCATGACTTGGAATACTTCTTTCCAGCCCCTTCTTGCCTGCAAGGTTTCTTTTGAGAAATCAGCTGATAGTCTAATGGGAACTCCTTTGTAGGTAACTGTCTCCTTTTCTCTTGGTGCTTCTAGGATTCTCTCCTTATCTTTAATCTTGGGAAATGTAATTATTATGTGCCCTTGAGTATGCTTCCTTGGTCCAACTTCCTGGGGAGTCTCTGAGCTTCCTGGACCTTCTGGAAGTCTATTTCCTTTGCCAGATTAGAGAAGTTCTACTTCATTATTTTTTCAAATAAGTTTTCAATTTCCTGCTCTTTCTCTTCTCCTTCTGGCACCCCCATGATTCAGATGTTGGAATGTTTAAAGTAGTCCCAGAGGTTCCTAAGTCTCTCCTCATTTTTTTGAATTCTTGTTTCTTCATTGTGTTCTGCTTGAGTGTCTTTCTTCCTTCTGTTGCAAATCATTGATCTGAGTCCCGCTTTCCTTCCTGTCACTGGTGGTTCCTTGTTCATTTTCCTTTATTTCGCTTTGCATAGCCTTCACTTCTTTCTCTATTTTGCGACCACACTCAACCATTTCTGTGAGCTTCCTGATCACCAGTGTTTTGAACTCTGCATCTGATAGGTTGGCTGTCTCTTCATTGCTTAGTTCTATTGTTGGAGCTTTGATCTGTTCTTTCATTTGGGCCATATTTTTTTGTCTCTGTGTGCCTGTCACAAGTAAAGGGCAGAGCCTTAGGTATTCACCAGTGCCGGGTAACCCACATAGCTGCCTTGTGGCTCTGTCTGTGGGGGACAGTGTCAGAGAGGGAACAATGCCACTTGCTCAGCTCTTGGGGACTTTCAACCACCACTGCCCCCAGCCCCGGGCTACCCACAAGCAAATTGGGCTCTTCTGGTGCTGATTCCAGGTGAGTGGGTTTATGTATGATCTACAACCCTGTGGGTCTGTCTAACGAACTGTCCAGTGAGACTGAGAGTTTCTCCTGTCACCTCAACCCTCACAGGTTTCTATAGTCAGAGGTTTTGGGGCTTTGTGTCCCTACACTGGAACCCTGGGTTGCACGATCTGTCTTGCTCCCCAGTTGTTCTTCCCCAGTTGTTCTGCACCCAAATATGAGACCACCGAGTCCACCAGCCACCACCTGTCCTGGTCCACCAGCCACCTCCTCTCCCTCCTCGGTCCTCCAGACGTCACCTTGCCACAAGTTCTCTGCACCCTTACTGCCCGTCTCAGCCCCTCCTGCCCATTTGGATGAATGTTTTTTCTTTAACTCCTTCATTGTCAGACTTCCATACAGTTAGATTTTGTAGCAATTCTTGTTATTTTTATTAATTTGTTGTTGTCCTTCTTTTGGTTGTGCAAGGAGACAAAGTATACCTACCTACGCCTCCTTCTTGGCCAGAAGTCCTAGTTTTATTTGTTTTCTGACAGAAAGAACTCTTCATCAAGATCAACAGGAAAACAAATGGAATTACTCAACTGCCAGTGAACCTGGTGTCCATACGGCCCGTTGATGGGACTCAACTGAGGACTGAGCCTGGCTGTACTGGTGGACAGAGGGGGCCGGGGACAGGAGGGGCAGCAGAGAGTAGACAGGGCCCCTGTGTTCTCAGATGCAAACAGTGCACACCTCACTCAAAGGTTATTGGCAGAATACGAGTTATAATTTGTAAAGACTTACTGCATTATGGGGGTCGAGCAAAGACCATACACATAAGTCTCCCTTGACATTAGCGATTATTCTACCTATGAGCCCTTTTGCTATCTTGTCAGGCAGGTCTCAGGAGGGGTTGATAAATGCTGGTTTGCCTTCTTAAAATAGTGCCTAAACTTAATCAACTTTTTTCCTTTATTCCCTTTGCCTCCCAAAGCAAGATAGTCACAGACAGAACTCAGAGAAATCCCCTCTGTGGAAAGATCTGTTTCAATCAGGTAGTTCCTAGAATAGAAATGATCCAGTGTGTGTTTCCCAGTGACGGCCATATGACCTGACTGCCCTTCCATTCACCTCTCCTTCCTGTTTGGCGGCATTTCAGCCTTAACTCTGATCCCATGGTGACAGAATTGCCCCCATCCCCAGGGTCAAGCCCACGTCCACACTGACACTTCCTTGAAATGAGCCTGCTAGTGCTGAGACCACACTCACCAATGCATCCTGCATATGGCTTCATGGACAAAAGGAAGGACTGGGGGTGTACAAAGGGGTTCTACAGAAAGTAACTTCACAGGATGATCTGATCATAACTTCCTCTGCAGGTCACAGCGGGTAGTCACAGCCCAGACATGTAACTTTTTAGTAAAAGGATGACCTTTCCCTTAAGCAAGCCCTGTGCATTGTTTCTGTGCATCTAGGTTAATGCACCTATGAAATAATTACCCTCAATAGAGCGGATAATCTTGTTAACTCTCCTGTACTCCAGGTCCCACCTTGCTTTCTCCCATCTTCCTTTTGTCCCACCCCTCGAACTTCAAATGGAGAAACGAAAGTGCCAATGGTTGTTCTCCAGAGCATTTGAGAGCTTGCTCAGTTTGTCTTGAATAAACCTTTCTAGAAATAAAAAAACAATTACTTCCTTGGTTCTCTCCCCTATGAGAGCCTGCCCACGACTTTCTTCCCCGACAAGTGAGCATCTCCTGAACCCTAAGGGACCCTCTGAGACTTGTCCCCAGGGGAGCAATGGGCATGGCAGCTCCTCCTGGGATAACCCCGGGGCCCTGTCTCCAAGTCCCCTAGTCCCAGTGAGCTGAGGCAGTGTTGCCTGGGCTCTCCTGTTGCTTCTTCTATCCTAAGCCCTTGTTTGTTTCATAGTCCCCAGCTTTAGAAAATGTACTCTCAAAACCAACTTTTCTTTCTTTCTTTCTTTCTTTCTTTCTTTCTTTCTTTCTTTCTTTCTTTCTTCTTTCTCTTTCTTTCTTTCTTTCTCTTTCTTTCTTTCTCTTTCTTTCTTTCTTTCTTTCTTTCTTTCTTTCTTTCTTTCTTTCTTTCTTTCTTTCTTTCTTTCTTTCTTTCTTTCTTTCTTTCTTTCTTTCTTTCTTTCTTTCTTTCTTTCTTTCTTTCTTTCTTTCTTTCTTTCTTTCTTTCTTTCTTTCTTTCTTTCTTTCTTTCTTTCTTTCTTTCTTTCTTTCTTTCTTTCTTTCTTTCTTTCAGAAAAGAAAGGTGTGGGGAGCGACTTGCCTGGGTGCCATGATGGAGACTGAGTGGGAAGATGGCCAGGCTTGGCTCCCCACCCTTGGCTGGCCCTCAGTTTGAAACTGGAGGGCAACCAAGTCCAGACTCCTCCTCTCTGTCACCACTCAACCAAAAAGCAGAGACAAGTACTGGATTATAATTGTGCT